TGCATTATATGTCTAAAATATTTAAGCTTTAATTTCATTATTAGTCCTTCCTACGAACAATCTGGTTTTACTTCATCTAATATTGAATGATTTGTTCTTCTGGCAATCCAAACTATTCTTGACAATTTTCTGCAGCTGAAAGACATATAGTAATTGTTCCTTTGTTCAGCCTTCCTTATGCTGTAGTTTTCACAGTCCAAATGTTATGACTGGGAAGACCGTGCCACTGACAAAAGATATCTCAGTTGGCAGAATGATGTCTCTATGCTTTAGTAATTTATATGGATTTCTTAAAATCTTTTTCCAAAGTAACAGTTTTCTGGAGTTTTGAGCTCAGGAAGATAAAGTCTGTTACTAATTCTTTACCTATTTGCATTAGATTGTCAGTAAAAAGAAACATATTTTTCTTTTTAAAAAGGGTTCAGCATCAGGCCACTTTCATCTTTTACTTTCAATAAGTAGGGGTTAAGTCTTCCTCACTTCCAGTCATGAAAGCAGAATCATCACCATATCTGAGGTACTTAATATTTCTTCCAGCAATTTTATTTCCAACTTCTTGGAATTACTTAGAATGAATTACATCTAGGGCCATGGAAATTAATCTCTCATAATATTCCACCTACAACTTCCATGCCACCATCAACCTCAGCCTTTCTACAGAACACTTCCTTGATGTCACTGTAAAACTATATAATGGACACATAAACAGCACTCTATACAGAAAACCTACAGATTGCCATGCATATCTACATGGTTCCAGCAAAAGGACACAAATTTGACATCAGGAGACAAAACAAAAACAAAGTAACATCAGAGAATTTTAGTCTCCAAGGACACGCTCAGGACATTCTATAGCAGACCTCAAAGTTTTGGAAAAGTGGGACTTTAAGAGCACCATCAAATGAGAAACTGTTGAATTCACATACATCAAAAGGTTTCAGCCAATCTCAGAAGGTCTCAACAAACACAATGGGGTTTTAATACATTACAAGTGTTAATTAAAAAGGGCCTTGTAATCTGTCTCACATGCAACATGCGTCTGTATAACCAACCTCTTTTCCCTTGCTTTCTCCCCTACCTCACTCCAGTTAAATCCAACATCAGTCCAACCACTCTATATGTGATAATCTGACTTGCAGCTCATGAAAGCTCATGCTTTTTAATAACATTTCTAAGTTAAAAAAAGTAGTACCAGATTTTTAGAGCTAATTGTTTTGATTTATTTCAAATAGCCACTTCATCCAGTGTATTGTAAAAAGCTGGTTATAGATTTTTTTTCCAGCTATAGCAATCAGTAGATTTTAATCATAATTGAAAGGATAGGGGTTTGTTACTATATTTAAGTAGTCAAAACTAAACCATTCAATCAAAATGAAATCATGTATCCACTTTTTGGGAGTATGCTTGACTGAATTGAATTTACAATTTCTGATGTAAAAAAATGAAACAATGTATTAAATAGAATACTATTCTAAAGCATGTTTATCAGTATAAAATAAATTGCTATTTTCTTTGTTAAATTATGTAATAAATTTAATGAATTTTTAAAACTTAAATAAGACAGCATTCATATCAAAAATGCACATTAATCTTGTGCATTAAAACATGTTTCCTTTAATAACTGTATTTTTTGTTTGCTTGCATAATTCTATTTTGATTTTCCCACTGATGTGCTAAGTCATCATTATCACTATCAACAAAATACATTCTTTTTACTAATGCCTACCCGGGCCATATGGGCATCAAATTATAAAGGGATACCTAAATCACAGGGTTTTTTTCTGATACTTTTTTCTGTCAGAATAGTTTTTTTTTTCCTATAAGAAAGCAGCATATTAATGATGATTATGTTTGTGCCAGGAACATCCAACTTTTGTCACAGATGGAGTTCCATCTTCAGAAAGTTACTTTGGGAGTGGATTAATCTGACTCATATTTTAGAGCCTTATTGGGAAAAATCAGAGTTCAGTCTCCCATTAGCCAGCATGGGAATAACATAAATATCTATAGAAATAACACCATTAACAATAAATACTTTAATCAAAATGGACAAAATTGGCAGAGAATTTTGACCATTAAAAGAAAATAATGCCTACAAATTTTCATAGAAATTGATATTTTCAAGTTTTTAAATACCTGGATTAAAATGCCCATGACATTTTTTATTTTTCACAAGAATAGAAGAAGCAGAACCATACTCATAGTTAGTTTGTTTGGTGATACTGCCTAATGTATCACACACACATAGAGATACACACAGAGAGACCACCTACAAAAACTAAATATGGGAAGAAAACAAATACAGAGGTGATATATTTACAATTGTTGACACACTTTAAAAGGCAAAAGTTATTGATAAGTAATAAATTATTTCCAAGTTGGGCAATCCTTGCACAAACCAATATTGACAATTTTGGTTGTAAGGAAATAGCCAATTATATTAGAATACACATTATCATATAAATTATACTCTTAGCAAGGGAAGAATGTTTTTAGGTAATTTACAGTTTCTGGACTAAATGTTTGGACTGGAGTGTTTTTGCCCTCCCATTTTGTGAAAATTTCCATAGTCCCCCTGCCCTAAGGAACACACTACCCCCCCCCCCCAACGATCCAACAGGTCCCCACTGTTTTAACCTTCAGGAGAGTACTTAAGACCTGTCTCTTCAACCATGTGTTGGGATAGGGTGAGGTTAGAATAGGAAGAGAATGTTGGATGTCACATCAGGGAAGTGTGGTTATGACACCTGGTTTTTTTTAGTTTTTGATTTTACTGGTTTTATGGTTTCTTTTGTTTCTATTGCTGCACAAACTGTTTTATTTTGGGTTGTAAACTGCCCAGGGTTGGTTTTAAGATGGGCGGCTATATAAATGTTTTAAAGAAATAAATAAATAATATAAGGATAATCTTATTTTTTTAAAAAAATGTACTAAAATAGCCTCCCCCCTTCCTGCTTTCCACGTGGATTTTAAACAATATTTACAGATCACTACGGAAATGAGACAGAATAAATTCAGGAATAAATATTTGAAAATAACTTTTTTGGTAAGCTACTGACAGCCTTCTGATGTACAAATTAGGATTTATGATTTTGAATCCCCCCAATTAATAATTTTTAAAATGCAATATGGTAAGTTACATAAGTTACTTAAGTTGCAAGAAAAACTATTTCACTGAAGCATAGTGTATTTTCATGCAATGTTATAGTTTGAATATTCTGTTTGAAGTCTTCAAATATATTTCCTTCTTCAGCATTAATTTTGCAGTTTAGATTGGGTGTGGAAAGAATGGGATTGTGTACATAACACTTTAAGAAAGATTTAGTATCATGGCAATGGCTTGGTAGCTAAAGGAAACCAATTTTCTTAAAAAACATGTCAAACCAAATTGAATCCCATTGTTATTTGTTAACTGAACTCAGTGGTGGTGGTGGTTTAAGGAAAAAACAGAGGAACAGTATGTGACCACAAAGATCAGTCTGATGCTAGGACAGATACTTCATAAATGTAATCTACATTCTTGCGATAGGAAATTACTTGGGTCAGCAGAGGCAATTCATCTCACACTTGTGCTTTTATCATGCTGTTTTATTTATCTCACTCTTCCAGTCCTTGATGAATAACCTTCAGTGGTTATGTTGATGAAAAGAAAGTGAAAATCTATCTCTAGTTCCCCTTTGACAACTGTCTTCTGTCATCTCATCAAATGAATATGAAATAGTGTCCAAGGCTGTAGGTCTCTCCCTCTCTCTCTCTCTCTCTCTCTCCCTCCCTCCCTCTCATCTGCCTGCCTGCCTGCCTGCCTGCCTGCCTGCCTGCCTG